ATCAGCCATAATGCTGACTGACCTTGAAGCTGATTGGTCGCTAACATACTTGCCCAGTCTCATCCACCATTCAATCCATCCAGCAAACACAATCTGGTGTGCTTACTGCCTGCATCTATTTCAGGTGATCTGATTCATCTGCATATACAACTAAATTGTCTGACCACAAGACGCCATAAATTCGGAAGATGAAATAACCAATTCCACAGAAAGAAAATGAGAGTGAATGGAAAATACTGAAGTCCATTCAACATAAAGTGATTATTTCCCAATTTTAAGTTTATACGTAAATGAGTTAGGCAAAGGGGTTGCAGTGCACCATCCTGGTACCAAAATGCAACTCGGACTAAAATAAATTAACTAAATAAACTTCTAGCTCACCTCCGGATGCTTTAGATGTTTTGTTTTAACGAGCAGGCTTCAATGCGATTTTATGTTCCATTTGTTCCGGTTAACACGCACATCCTGAGAGTCCCTAGTTCAGCTATACGAGCCAGATAAGTTGAATAAACTTTACCCCTATTCATTACTATTACATTTATTCTAATCAAATGTATTGCTCCTAAATACCAATGCTTTTGGTTTGTGTTTTGTTATCAGTACCCACACGTCAAGTAAGGTACTGATTAACCAGGTACTAGAGCACATCGAGTTAAGAAGGGTTGATCAAAGGTTATTAATATTATCATTTATGTCTTGGGTTCCAAATGGAATATAGGGCTTCATTCCACACCCTTCTCTGCAATCTTTCCAACCTGTCGCCACCACTGCCCACAAGCTCTCATTTCTTCCTCACACAATCTCCTCCATATCATCACCCTCAGCTGGGAAATCCAACCCGTCGCTTCCCATCGTGGTTCCACTGGACGCCCTGGTCTGGCCTAGTGCGTGATGTCCCCAATCGGCCTTCTCACTGCATGCTCAAACCAATCCATCTCCTCTTCCTTCCATCACATATTTGTTCATCGATAGGTTCTCGGTTGGCTCGTTCCCAGAGTTCCTCCTTGCCTATTCCTATCATTCTGGCCATCTGATTGATGTCCAGTATGGAGTGAGCGTAGGTGGCAGTTGTTGATGAATGTGTGTAGTTTGTTGTAAATCGCTTTCGTAACGCTCCAAATCTGTGAGGCATGACATAGAAGCACTGACTGACTTGACTGGATTGGTGTTGAAAATCCGGATGTTGTTCACGCTTTGTGCTGAGTAGAGTTGATCTCCACACTGCTAGGTTTCAGATTAATGCACCGAGACCTGTGTTAGTGTCTTGCCGATGCTGGCTAGTTTGATATCCTCATATGTGCCTGTGCCGTCTGTAGTTGAGACGATGCTGCTCTGCCTAGTTGCGTGTAAGTGAAAGAGACTACTTCCTTTAGATTTTTGCTGTTGATGGTGATTGATGCTTGTTGTTGTTTGTTGCGTATCCTCATCACCTCTGGTTTCTCTGCGTTCCCCTAAAGGGATGTTATTCGTCACTTGAGGCTTATATCTTCTTGTTGTTATACCAGGATGAATCGATCCAAATGATTAATCACTAAGCTATACACTACACTAGAAATGATTTCTACCATTTCAAAATAGAACCAAAACTTTGTTAGATAACTTGGTGACAGAAGGATGGAGAAATTGAATTGATATAAAGTAGCCATTTGTGAATATATGGCAGATACGACATAACGTTACACAGAGTATGTTCCGGTTAACAAGTTAAAGCAGACTGCATGACAAAGGAAAGTTACGCAATGCATTTAGCCATTTGATGAAATGATTGCAAAACAAAACAGAGATTACGCATATGAGTCTCAGCTCACATTTCTGAACAAAGGCATCTATTGAAATCAGCAGTCTAGGTTACATCATGAAAGATCTTTAGTGAGAGATTCGTCATGAGGTGCGTCATCTTTCCTTTGAAGATGAAGAGAACCATAGCAAAAGTCAGTTTTCAAGTTACTGGAATACGTATTCTGATGTGGATGCTAAATTGTACGAAACCTGAGTTAAACACCTATTATTTTCATCTGAAAAGTATTTTGTGTAAGTATTTTCAGATTAAAAGTATGGACACTTTACATACCTTCTGACAACTACGCTATACTTCAGTAAATGGTGTTCAACATAGAAGTGGGGATACACTTCGTATTCTGAACTTATGCTGCTACTATTCCTTCCAGTTGGCTTCTTGAGACTTATCAGAAAAATGTATCTGTAGTCGTTACGGGAATGGTGTTCCATCGATTATGTTGAACTTATATCGCTCAGTGTTAGATTGAGAAATCCAACAATTTAGATATTTTTGACACAACTAACTCTCTTGCAAGTGAGTTGGTCCATACAAGTGTCTAATCTGTCACTCTTTATCACTGGTTGAAATCTGTCGCGGAAGCTCCTGTGAATTGAAAAGGTCAAAAGGGAAAACGCAGTTTTCATTACAGCCGTCAGTTGTACCAGTAAACAGGTTATATTCATGGTTATATGATGCACAGGATACAAGGTATGTCAGTCAGATAACTCATCTTAGTTAATGAAATACTCACTGTTTCGAGTGTAACTCACTTCATGGTTACCAGTCTGGCTTTCTATAGTTTCGTCTGAAGATATTAATGAAGGAAACCGTCGAAAGTTAATTTTGTTTCTAACAAAAATTCATAAGGTTCATCAAGGCTACTACTACTCACACTATTACTACCACTCCTCACACTACTACTACTACTACTACCACTCCCCACACTACTACTACTACTACTACTACTATTGCTACTACTACTGCTCACACTAACACTACTAATACTACTACCACCACTCAAACTACTACTGCTACTCACACTACTACTAATACTTATACTACCACTACTACTCACACCACCACTACTACTACTTCTACTACTACTCACACTACTACTAATACTCATGCTACCGCTACTACTCATACTACTACTACTACTACTACTACTAATACTACTACTACTACTACTACCACTCACACTACTACCCACATTACCACTACTACTACCGCTGCTACTACTACTACTACTACTACTCACACTACTACTACTACCAATCCTCACGCTACCACTACTACTATTACTAGTACTACTACTGCTCACACTACTACTACTACTACTTCTACTACTACTACTGTAGAGGATTACAGATTGGACACTTATTATTATGGCCGAGTCTGTCACAACGATAAAAATGAATTTATTGTCACATTCCAAATCCCGGACATTTAACTTTTATTTCTTTTCGTCTCATACGTGTAAACTTCAATCTCTTTCCCTGCTTGCATTCTTGTGCACTTCTGTGTAGTGTAACCTTTCGAACTAATGAGTTCGTACGCTAATTTCTGTGCTGATTCGTCTACCTAAGGCAATTTATAATGAGAATATGGAATCGATGTTTAATACAGAGAGGTTCTAATCATAATCATAACATATTTTTATATTTGGTTTGTTGCTGCAGGACAATTCGACATCTGAAGATATGCTAAGTTTGTACATTACAGTGCGAAAGAGTTTTGCAAGTGGCCTGAGTCAAAGATAACCATCATTTGATAAAATTGATTATTTCTATCGTCTAGATAGAGTTGAGGATAGCGATTAGCACATAGTTTTCATCAAGTGTTAAGTTGTTTACGCCTTCATTTCAGTGAACATATTCATTCCTTGTTAGAATGGATAATAATGTGAATTTTTTCGGTGAATTTATAGAGAATCTGGTTCTTTACGGTTAACATGAGAAACATCATTTACTATAACACAAATGTATTTGAAGCTAGGGAATTCTATTGATGCCTATCTGAATAGTTCGTTCTGAGGTATTAGTTATGTAATTGATCTCAACAAGTACCACACTAAGTAAACTTCTTAAAAATACTATTTGATAATATCTAAGGGAAAGTTCTCAGTTCTACAACTGACATCCACGGATAGAGAGCAGTTCAGATAGTTCCAAATCTCAATAAAACAGTAAATCAATATTCTTCTGTTTGTGCTTAACAAGTTATATAATCTCTGTACACTATACAAGACAGTTGAGTGGAATCATTTTTCGCCTTACTTCTTCCTTTTGCTCATTTTGTATACTTGAAGATGTTGTAAAGTATTGTGAGAGTAGAATTTCGGCCCTATGATATTGTACAACTGACTATGAACGAAATTAATTCGTTAAAGAACAGACTTTGTATTGTATCAACTGAAAGACTTAGAACATTGGAAACCCATTTCATCGTAGGAGTGGAAGGTTTAACGGTAACATGTGAAGTTGGACAATCGATGTTGAAGAGCCTGATAAAGATTCACGTTAATTAGCCAATTCACAAAAGTAATAAACTGTGAAATACTGAATGGTTAATGAGTTAGTTCATTGAGAAACTTGGAAATTCTGAACCCGATCTTTGGTGAGGTTATGGATGCTTTCTACTCAGAATTATCATATCAATACGAAACGGTTTCACTGGTTCTCCTTAAACTGATATTAGTTATCATTACATCTCATGAATTGTGACTCCTTAAACAGATGATGAGTTCATGTCACAGCGTTTTAGAATATACACATAACTTTAATGAAGACGTAACCAGTTGAGCATTTACCATTGGTCTTGTCTGCTTATTTGTTTTGTAATCATCTGTATCTTTGAAAATATGAGACATAAAATGTCAATATACCCATTTGAAATCAATAAGTAAATCCCCTACAAACCTGTAAAATTCAGTTACTCCTATCTCTAATGATTGTTAACTATTTCGCTGATAATTCCTTTCAGGGGGAATAGAATACTCGTTTCTTCCTTCTAACTGGCCATTATCAATTTCATCTATACATATATATCTATATCAAAGTGAATTCTCATGTGTCTAAAAATATTCGAAAGTGATTGGTACGTATCATTTTGGACAGATATTCTTGTACACTGTCTGTCTTCCTCCTCTTACACCTCCGCGTTTCTAGTCTCTATTATCAATTCCACTTTATCAGAGTATAAAGACTGACCTATCAAGTTGTTAGTGAATTTCACTACGCCTACAGGAGAATGTTAGGCAATTGTTGTGTAGGCTGAATGGAAAATGCCATCTCTGATTCTGATTAACATTAATGAGAGCACTGATTGAAGTAGTAGTAGTAGTAGTAGTAGTAGTAGTAGTAGTAGTAGTAGTAGTAGTAGTAGTAGTAGTAGTAGTAGTAGTAGTAGTAGTAGTAGTAGTAGTAGTAGTAGTAGTAGTAGTAGTAGTAGTAGTAGTAGTAGTAGTAGTAGTAGTAGTAGTAGTAGTAGTAGTAGTAGTAGTAGTAGTAGTAGTAGTAGTAGTAGTAGTAGTAGTAGTAGTAGTAGTAGTAGTAGTAGTAGTAGTAGTAGTAGTAGTAGTAGTAGTAGTAGTAGTAGTAGTAGTAGTAGTAGTAGTAGTAGTAGTAGTAGTAGTAGTAGTAGGAAGTGGGAGGAATAATCCAGCAGAGACTGTAACTAGAATTCATTAGGATAATGCTGTGACCAAGATGGTGAAAGTACTCTTCCTACTTCTTCTGTATGCGTAAATGAAATTTCATTTCATCATTAGCATTACTTTTGTTGTTTCAATGACGCGAAACAATGATTCACTATGGGAAACTTCATAGGCAATGTGGAAATCTTAATTTGAATAAGTTGATTCAGTGGAATCATTCAGATAGCCGTGGATAAACATTTTGTATGTCCTTGCTTTCATCCCTTGATAGAGGTCTCTGATAGTGCTTGATATATGCTTGAATGTGACAAGACTAGACAGCGTATATTTGACGTGTGCAAGGAATCACTAGTTAAGGTCAAGTGATCAATTTTTGCTGTAGTCGGCTTAGAATCAAGAATTCATGAAATGAATCACATTATTCAATTAGTGTTTTTGAATAAACAGTTCCTCTTGTTGACAATAAGTAGAGTAGATAATGGGTAAGCTGTTTTTTTATTGAAGCAGACACCTAAACGTGGAGAATAATTAGTGTTCTACACCTACATAGGTTATCTTTAGATGAATCCTTTCAAGGATAGATTACCATATGTTATACGAAGCACATCAGAAAGAGGAATCGTATATCCACCTTCTAAAAGGAAAAACTGATTGACTGCACTGATCTCATCATGTACTTGGGAGTTTGAAATACTTCTGGTAGGTTGATGATCCCAAAAAAATTTCAGCTTGGATATAAAAAAACAACTGGATTGACCTTAGCATAGCTATTTCATCTATGCGACTAGTCATATGTACAATTACCCATTGGGGGGAGTCTATCGCGCCACTGTTTCTTCCTTAGTACGTTAAAGATTATGCATATCGAATTCCACTGTCCTCATAGTATTGACCTATGGAGATGGAAACTGTACGTTGGCAGTGTTTTAAACAGAAGACTTAAATTAGTTGGTGAGGTTATACACCTTCCTCGATTCAGATATCTTGGGCATCTGTTATATATACCTGATGACTGTTCACCTGTTCACTGATTATTGTTAGTTGAAATAGGTTTAAAGTAGAGAGAGATGAAAAGTGGTCAGACTAAAACATGACATCAAACGGTGAAGTCTTTGACTGTTACAGTGGACCATGTAAACGGATGAAGACTTTTCAAATAAGATCCTTTTGACAACAGATTGTATGAAGTTTCATCCAGATGATATGACTGGAAATCGATCTCTTCTTAATTGTCACATCACATTTCATTTCAACATCGTTTTCCCTTCCTCTGATGAATTTCTACAACTTTGATAATCTGTTTCTATGTATCCACCTCTTATGTTGCTGTCTTGTATCTTGATATGCTTACATCAAGTATGGCAACTTAAACCAATATACCGAATTGCCGCCTTCCAAGTAGATGGTAAGTGACTGAATCACTGATTCCTCTTACTCAATAGTAACAATTTTGTTTGTTTCCGGAGTTTCGGTTGCTCTTGACGACAGAATCATCTGCATCTTACATAGGATTGGGTAATAAATAATAATCAGAATACGGAGTGCCACAAACCTGTATCAACCTCATTCAACAGCTATATGAAGACGCCAAATGACAAGTGATTGACAGTGGAAATCTCAGTGATGACTTCGAATTGAAGACAAGTGATAGGATTAAAACAAGGTTGCACCAATTATGATTGACTCCACTGGACTGGATCATGCAACAAACTGTGAGGAGGGAGAAGATGGGCATTCGCTGGTTGGACCGATGAAAAGAACCTACAAGATTTGGATTTCGCCGATGTTGCTTTATGTTTAATGTCTTATGTCTCACAAACTCGAAGATGTATGGACGAAAACTAAAAAGTTGAGACAGAGACAGAGAAGAGGTAGCGAAAGAAGACAGGACTTCCTTTAGGGGAATGTGGAGAAGACAGAGGTGATGAAGATAATCAACAAACAACATTAACAACAACAACAACAAGCACCAATCACCAGCAACAGCAGAAATCTAAACGATGTTGTCTCTTTCATTTACATCCACCTACACAGGCAGCATCATCTCAACTACAGGCTGCACACGAACAGTCACAGTTGAGCATGTCAAAGTAGTCAGCATCGGGAAGACAGCAATACACACCTCCCTGCATCAATCTGAAATAATCAGTGTGGAGATCTACTCCACTCCACTCCACTCCACTCCACTCCACTCCACTCCACTCCACTGCACTCACTCCACTCCACTCAGCATAGAGTGTGAACAACATCGAGATTTTCAACACAAATTCAATCAAGTCAGTCAGTGCTTCTATGTGGTGGTTGAGAGACTTGACGCACTTCGAAAAGCATTTCCAACAAACTGCAGTCAAGCATCACACGAACAGGTGCCGGTTATGCTTGCTCACTCGATAGTGAGGATGGAGATGAGATGGTGAGTGTAATAAGAGAAAGCAATGAGGAACTGTGGCTGGTGACTGGTTGTGTGATTGGCTGGCAACGAACCAGCGAAGCAACAACCTATCACCCAACAAATATACAGAGGGAGAAAGTGGAGGTGGATTGGATTGGATTGGATTTGACATAGACTGAGAAGATGGTTTGTGGACACCACGCAACAGACAAGGCCAGGCCATCGAGTGTAAGTCAAATGGGAGACGATGAGTTGGGCGTCCGTGGCTGAGGGTGATATGGAGAATATTGTGTGAGAAAGAACGAGAGGAGAGTGTAGTGGCTGTGTGCTACTGAATCCCTACCTTCCACTACGAACCGAAGGGACAAATAATAATAATAATAAAATACTGTTGAAAAGTACGTCGGGAATAATCTGATATCTTAGATCTCATGCAAATTGTTGTCTTACTGGAATATCAGACGGTGTTTAACTCAAAGGGAAGATACTTGTATACAACATTCAAGTCGAGGAAAGGCATCTGTGTATCTGCTTTTAGAATCTAGGTGATATCAGAGGTGGAAGCCAGACAAGAAAGGCTACCTTGAAGCTATAAGTCATGAGAGTAGGACAACTATGCTGTTAATTTCCGTACATTGTACAGTGCTTATGACAGTCAGGTCAAGGCATGATGGTTGACAATCTATGCTGACCAATTTCAGAATAAATTAATTAAATTTCCCCTTTCGACGAAGTCATCTACTACTAATCTGTACATTCTTGGGCAGAGCAACCCATAATTATTTCCAATCATGCGGTAGACAATACAGAAAGACCTTACTGAGTCAACAGAAAATAAGAAATGAATCTTTCGTTAGCTAAGAATTATATGAACCAATTCATTTATTGGGTTCTACACAAACAAGGCATTCCACTCCGTTGGATACTAGATATGCTCTCAGTCAATCGCCAAATAACTTGTAGAAATATTTGAACCTGTAAAGAAGCGGCTATTGAACCATAGTCTTCCTGACACTGCTTCAATAAACAATGTTAATTTGATGGGTAAGTGAATGAGTTCATTAGATATTGTGTCCCTCTTCATAAATATCCCACTGAAACAGAAACCATTTACTTCCTATGTGAATTCATTCAATGTCATAATATAGATGTTGGTATTCTAATCCACTACCCAAAACAGCTTCTACTTTGATGTACACTTCAGATTTAATAGTGAAATCTACTGAGAGGTAGACGGTGTTGCAATGGATTCTCCACTAGAAAATCGTCTACCTGACTACTTCATGGGAAGCCTGGAAAACACTAAATTATCATCAATAATCAATGAATTTCATGTCTACAAAAGATACATGGATGATACCTTTGTAGTTGATGATAAAAATATGAATATTGCAAACTTGCTTCGTACATTCAACAATCCCCACCCTTCAACCTTTCTTGATGTTCAACTTCAAAGAAAAGACGGTAATTCACTCTGTAGATTGATCTACAGAAAGCCTCCATAGAAAGGCCAGTTTACTAACTTTCAAAGCTCAATCTCTCTAACTAGGAAGAGAAATCTTATTCATTCACCTTCCCCGAGGATCAGGAAAATATGTACTGAAGACAGAATTGCTGGAGAACTGAAAAATCTTCGACGAACCCTAGCGGAAAACGGGTTCCCGCTCAGATTCATTGATAAGAACATAAAGCCAAATAACCCAAGTGAACAAAGACATTTGGCGCCGATAAAGATTCTTTAGTTGAATCTTGAATTCGAAAAAAAATGATATTGCTTCAGAGATTCTGAGGAAACGACTGTCGAAATCCAAAAACAGAACATACTTCGCCGCCAACCTCCGGATAATTTTCTCCTGCAAGAAACTTTTCGTTCAATGTGTGAAAGACAAGCGGATGCATTGGGCCACATCATTGTGTGTATATCAGTTTACTTGTTCTTGTGGAGCTGAGTACATCGGCCTTACGATACATTCTCTTGTAAAACATGCCCCGAACACTATCTAACCCGGTTGCAAAAGGAGAACGGAAATGCATCTTCAGTTCAATAACGAAACACCTCGTGAACGTAAGCCAATTTGCTCCTTCCGAGAGCTCATTCAAAATTCTCCACAGAGTTCTATCAAATCATTCAAAAGGAGTAAGATCAAGGCACATGTCTATAGCTGAAGCATTAGCCATCTAGAAGTTAAACTCTACGTTACGTGTCCAATAAAGGTACATCCAACCTTTATCTTTGCCATGGCCGTCATAAAGCCTTGACTGTCATAAATCCATCCTGTATTAGGTGACTATGCATGTTTTTACATAATCCCTTGTCTATTTTTCCACTCAAAAACATAAATGTTCATTTACTGACCTCCTTTAGTGATTAAATATATATTTTGCCGCCTAACCGGAAATAATTCTGGATGGTTCTGCTCACTGTAACGTCCATTCACGAATGTACAGCTTAGTAGCCAATAACGTCGTCGAAAAGAAAGATTCTTCATCGTTGAAGCCACGTCTTGCCCTTTCCCTATGCGATAGGTATTAACCTATAAAAATGATGAATAGTGGATTTCAGTGGAGTTCATGACGCTTAATGATAAATAAATATTTGTCAAGGTAATTCTACTACTCACAAGTAGCAAATGTGAGGTCATCGAAATGACTATTGATCATTGAACTGGCCTGGCTTATTTTCTTAACCACCAACTCCTGGTGTACGCCTATATGCTACTTTCAATCATCTATTGACTAACACTTGACTTGTTTTCTACTCCTACTGTCTCATTCAAACCAAAATTGAACGGGATTCAGTGATCATCTTTGACTCAATGACTATTTTAACAGATGATGCTAGATGTTAGATTAGGATGCAAGAAGTCTGATGGTGACTAAATTAAGACATGGCATCAGTACATGAAGACTAACTGCTGATCTGAGCTGTTTGAGAGGGTCTAGACTACTTGGTTGGGGTCCCCAAAATGATTTGAATTGCTAACATGGCTAGGTGACAGTGGAGAAAATTTGTTCACTCTTTGACTTCGTCTGTAGATTGACAGGATTTTTTTTCTGTCTGCTTGTTCCTTGCATAATGCTGTCGAATATGGCAGCTTGGAAAAGATGAATGTCTGTTAGAGGTTCTACGTGGACTTTGTCTTTTTCTGTCTTTCGAATAGATAGTCAGCAGTGTTGTTTGACTGATCATCTACGCAAACACTGTTTTCTATTCTCTATTGCTTTTTTTGAGTAATATATGTATCTAAGAGATATGTGAATAATAATCACCTGTCAATCTTGACATCGTGTTGATGGACTGAAACTGATCTGTTACACTACGATCGCTGATAAGGCGAAAAAGTCTTCGGTGTATATGATGCCACGATTGATGATTACAAGACAAAGTATCTTGAACAAATGAATAAATCTAATTGTATACACAAACTAATAAGGCAACATGATATCAAAAATGTGCAACCACCTTCATGTTCAACTATCCAGTTGAGTAGTATACTAAGAAGATTCCTATACTTCAGTGAACTTCCGAATATACTGAGTGAATCATAACTATGTCCCTGACCGATAATTCCAGACACTCTTCCACTACATTTCATGGATAAGATTACAGCAATTAGGACTACTTTCATAAGTAATTAGCTCAGTTATCATTGTTATTTGTCCCTTGAGTTCCTAGTGGAACATACATGCTCAGTAGTACATCTCCATTCCACTCTTTTCTCTTCGGACTTTCCAACCTGGTTCCACGACTCCCCACAAGCTTTCATTTCGTCCCCACATCATCTCCTCCATATCACACTCAGCTGGGACGACCAACTCATAGTTTCCCATTTGGATTCCACTCAACGGCCTGACCTTGACTGACACGTGATGTCCACAAACCGTCTTCTCAGTGTATGTCCAATCCATCTCCCTCCATTTTCTTCTGCATATTTGTTAAGTGATAGGTACCTAGTTGGTTCATTGTCAGCCAGCTAGCCAGAATTCCTTGTTGCTTATTCTCACTATTCTCACCACCTCATCTGATCTTCAGTATCGAGTGAGTGTAGGTGGCAGTTGTTGATGAATGTCTGTAGTTTGTTGGAAATGCTTTTCGTGACACAACAACTGTCTCAAACATCACATAGAAGCACTGACTGACTTGACTCAATTGGTGTTGAAAATCTGAATGTTGTTCACCCTTTATGCTGAGTGTAGTAGATCTCCATACTGATTTCAGATTAATGAACACCTGTCTTGCTCTGTTTTCGATCGTGGCTGCTGTGACATCCTCATGTGTGCATGTGTGGCCTGTAGTTGTAGGGATGCTGCCTAGTTAGGTGGTATGTGAAAGAGATTACTTCCTTTAGGCTTCTCCTGTTAATGGTGATTGGTGCTTGTTGCTGTTGGGTATCTTCATCATCTCTGTCTTTTCTACGTAGCTCAGTTATACCTCTCACTTATTACCATCACTAATAGAGACATCTACAGATATACCTCCTCAGTAATGCATAACGAAAATGCAATGCACAGCATATTTTTAATCACAATATACACATGAAACCTAAGGTTATGCATAGAATAGTAGGTATGACACTCCAAGTACATATGTAATGATATACACGTGAATAACTTCCTTCTATCTTAGTTCATCGCTCTCTGTTTTCTCTCTTCTTGTTGTAAACAGAATCTTAAAAACCTGCAATCACACTGGAGTTATACTATTCCATCAGTACTTTTCTTAAATATCACTCCCTCAATGTCCAAGCAACTCCATAATTGTGTAATCTATGATGATTATCCTTATTACATCATCCTCAACAGCGAAGCCAATCGTTGGCGGGTGCGTTCGTCAAGGGATGTGTCGCCGATGATGTGCTGCACCAGTGAGGGTAGCGTTAGGCTGGACACAGGGGGGGGGTGGCGTTTGCGGGGAGCATAATGGTATGATAGTGGAATCAATTACAATGCGTGAGTTGGTAACATCAATAAATGTTGAGTGTCTAGTGAGAAAATCGACTCTCAGTACTATATTCCAGGTAACGTGTGTACATACTAAGAACTGGTGGGTTGCCTGGAGTGCCCCGATGTGCAGCTCTAGGCGAGAAGTACCGTGGGCGTTGATCCTAGCGCCGTTAGCCGCCATGAGGACTGTGTGGGACGGCGACATGTCGGTGTCCTCTGGCAAATCATGGAGAAAGGATGCCTTAACTACAGACACGGACGCGCCGGTGACCACCAGCATGACAGTATTTACCCCGTTTATCGTGCCACATATGGTCAATGGCGCTTGGTTACACAAAAAGGCCGATAAATTATAAAATGGGGACTCATCAGGAACACTGTGACGGTTGTGTCCATAGCGTCAAGCTCATGAAACAAAACGCCGACAGTAGTAGCAACCTCGAGGAGTTGATGTTTGTGCAGCCGGTTAATGGACGTTACGGTGTTTTCGTCAGGGGATTGTTGAGTAGACACGGTGTTCATGTTCGGTGTTGTTGGGGTTTGGGATCTGACGTCCATGAAGCGTAAGGAAGGGGTTTTGATTTCACTGGGAGAGGTTGGTGACAGGCGGAGGAAGTGATTTCGCAGTTCGCCCGGTAGAAGGCCTTCCACAAAGCAAAAGCATACGAATGTTTCATGCGCAGTTGTGTCCATTTCAGGTAGGGCGTCGACAGCTAGACACTGTAGTGTGTGCCAGTAGTCTATAGGCGACTCGGCCAGCAGTTGTCTCTTCGAAATCAATTTCATTGTATATTGCTGTGGACCCAACTGCAGGTCGAAGCATTCGTCCAAACAGTGCCAGTTGGTGAACGGTGTGTTGGCGGCAGAGAATCCGGCAGCGAATGCCCTGCAGGTGGCTTCTCCCCAGAGCGACGCCAGGATGTGATCGTAGTGGGCGGCTGGCGGAAGATAAGTGAGGAATGTATATATATATATATATATATATATATATATATATATATATATACCTCCGACACCAACTAAGAAGCCTCTTGACACTTATTCATCCATTGTTATAAGGAATCATGGATTCAATTTGATGTTTTACTTCTGAATGTTTGACTGATGGCATTCCGTCCACTGCAACTATAAACAGTATAGGAATATGCCAAAAGCTACCTACAACTTTGACTACAGGTGGGGAATCTTTGAGATGACTTCAAAATGGAACAGAAAATGACGATTATTCACCAGATGACCAGGTGCTATACAAAACATAATGGCGGCTATGGTTGAAATCTGTTCAATGTTGTATAAACAATAAAGAAATCAACCATTTCACTAAGGATGTGTTATATTACCGTCAATATTATTTATCATTTTCTGTACAGTATATGCTGTATGCATGATCTTTCAGATGAAAATCCTTGAGTGATTAAGCTGGTATTGGGTGGTAGAGAATATGGGACTTCAGATGAACGCAGAGGGGAAAGAGGTGATGAAGATAATCAACAAACAACATTAACAACAACAACAACAACAACAAGCACCAATCACCAGCAACAGCAGAAATCTTAACGAGGTTGTCTCTTTCATTTACATCCACCTACACAGGCAGCATCATCTCAACTACAGGCTGCACACGAACAGTCACAGTTGAGTATGTCAAAGTAGTCAGCATCAGGAAGACAGCAACACACACCTCCCTGCATCAATCTGAAATAATCAGTGTGGAGATCTACTCCACTCCACTCCACTCCACTCCACTCCACTCCACTCCACTCAGCATAGAGTGTGAACAACATCGAGATTTTCAACACAAATTCAATCAAGTCAGTCAGTGCTTCTATGTGGTGGTTGAGAGACTTGACGCACTTCGAAAAGCATTTCCAACAAACTGCAGTCAAGCATCACACGAACAGGTGCCGGTTATGCTTGCTCACTCGATAGTGAGGATGGAGATGAGATGGTGAGTGTAATAAGAGAAAGCAATGAGGAACTGTGGCTGGTTGACTGGTTGTGTGATTAGCTGGCAACGAACCAGCGAAGCAACAACCTATCACCCAACAAATGTACAGAGGGAGAAAGTGGAGGTGGATTGGATTGGATTGGATTTGACATAGACTGAGAAGATGGTTTGTGGACACCACGCAACAGACAAGGCCAAGCCATCGAGTGTAAGTCAAATGGGAGACGATGAGTTGGGCGTCTGTGGCTGAGGGTGATATGGAGAATATTGTGTGAGAAAGAACGAGAGGAGAGTGTAGTGGCTGTGTGCTACTGAATCCCTACCTTCCACTACGAACCGAAGGGACAAATAATAATAATAATAATAATAATAATAATAATAATAATAATAATAATAATAATAATAATAATAAAGGTGATATTACTTCTTTCAAGATGAACTTACTGAATCGTTTTTTTCCTTATCTTTGCATGATGCATTGACATATTTATCAGACACGATTTTCATTTCCACCAGAAAGTATCATGAGAAAACACTAAAAAAACTTGAACGTCTAACTTAAAGTGGATTCATTTTATGTGATGTAAAGTGTTGTTACTTTCAACCTGGAGACTGCCACTACCTGGACTGAAAAATGGATAGTAATCAACATTACTAGAGATTTTTCACCTCTGAATATAATAACCGTTTCTGGAAAAACTATATTATTATGTACTTGCGAGATAACACTACTTATTAGGTGGTTTGTTTTCTGGAAAAACAAGCTAAT